CCATGTGCCGAGCCTTGGAGGAGCAGGAGCTTTTCAGAGACGCCGCGCTTTGATGAATTCTTAGAATGCTGGCAAGGTTATGGACAGCAAATCCTGACCACCATTTCGGGCACACGGTTCAGAAACCAACTTTCACACAAATTGACGGTTCCTTTCCCATGCAAGGAGCTTAGTGACCCCAGCTGGTGGAAAAACGGAAAAGCGGTGAGTAAACCAGCTGTACTGAACTACGTACCTGGCCAGGGCAAATTCAAAGGGATTGTTGAACGTGCTTCCAGCATCCCTAAGGGCATAACCTTCACACCGGAGGTGCGTTTCCACAGAGTTGAAGACTTGTTGTGTGCGTTGCTTCTCTCACGAAGGTGTTCAGAGCCGGGAAGAGCCTCCCCCATTGATCAGGGTGCCAGTAGACCGAAAGGAGCCAATAGCAGACAGACCTAAGTTGGACCAGGGCAGCCATGGCAAAGCCCGGTACGAGATCGATAGATTCGACCAATTTGTAATCTTGGGGTAGGCAAATTTCGACCCCTCCTGAATGTCCAGATTCCTTTAATACCGCAAGGGAGGCAACCGTGTTTATTCTAGATGTTGCCTGCCTGAATCTTTGCAAGCAGGCTGCATTCCACTTAGTTTCCTGGAGAAGCACAGGAGTTTGGTGAGCCAAAGCTCCAATTGTCCTGAGCTTAGCAAGGCCAATGGTGTCAAAAGTGCACAGTGAAGTAACGTTCCAACTAACGACAGCTTGGAGCTTGCACGGCTGTTTTGGAAGTGCATCAAAGTAGGGAATAAGCGAATCAGCGATAAGGTTCAGAGCGAGTTGTAGCTCCTCATGAGGCAGCTGAAGATTAGCCGCAGCAATGAGATCGAAAGGCTTATCATTGGAGGCCCCAAGAGCTGACCTCAGCTCTCGACTGGTGGTGTAAATAAGTGGCAAGTTGTATGCAAGGAGGATGTTGTTGAGGGATCTAACGCGTGCATGAGGTCTACGATAGGCAACAAACGCATTCACGTGATCAAGGAAGATCGTGGATCTTGCCTTGATCACGACGTCACGAATCGACGTCATAGGGGCAGAGGGTCCCTGTGGACCCCATAGAAGCATATAAGAACGGTGGGTTGCCTATTGTAGACGTACATGCGCAGCGCTCTCTCTTGTGTGGGAAGTGCAGGGGGGATGCTGTTGTGTGCCGTGGAGTGTTGGTGAACTGTGCCTTGCTTGTAGATGGTGTATCGAACACCTTCTGGATCCATAGTGAGATGCACGGCTTGCCTACAAGGCGAGGCGAGTTTGGCGAAGCATGAGAAGTCTCTTACAACCTCGCTCAGCCACTCCTCACTTAAGTTGCATGTTGGGGACAAAACCTTGGCGGCATAATTGTCAGGAAAGAAAGGCGTGAGAAAGAGTTGAAGAAGCTCTTGCTGCCCAAAGTAGAGACCACACGGCACTGTATGACCACAAAGGTGCACTGCAGGCTCGTTCCCCTCGAAAATCAGAGAAGTTGGGGAATTGCACTTTCGCGTCAACAACTCTCTGGAGGAAGGTGCCAGGGCTGGCTCCTTTGCGCTCAATATTGACTTCTTCAATGACTGTTAGGTGTGATAAAGCAGATGCAGTATTGCAAGCCTGCGAAGAGGTTAGCGTTGCGATTGCACAATGCTCATCTTGTTCAACGTACAAGAAGAGGTCAACAGGCGGGGAGCCGATTCGGGCATTCTTCTCCTTCCAGTGCTGTACTTTTAAAGTTTCCCCATGTCCTCTTATGAGGAGGAACTGTGGAATGAATTCAACCCTGAAGGTCATAAAGTCCAAATGCAGGGCCTTTAGAAAGCTGAGCATAGCATACACTTGCCATGTGCTGGGGAGTCCAAGAATTGCAAGGCAATTTTGGCTCCCATATTGGCTATTGACTCCTTACAGTATTACAGAAGCTCGCCATAACTGGCTGTCTCTGCCCACACAGGAGACGCAGCTGAGGGTCCACACATTGCAGAACAGCTTGTATAGAAGGTGGAATTCCGGTTGCCATGGGAGGAGACTTTAACTTGGTCAATCAACACAAAGAAGGTGAGTACACCCACCTCTTAGCACAAGGTGACTTGATAGAGTGCAGGTCAGAAAAACCGACCTTTGAGCAGGGCAGCACTCTCAGCCATTTGCATCATGATCTCATTGCCAGCGCCTTATATGTCTCATCCAAAGTCTGTGTTGACTCCTGGAAGCACAAAAAGGTAACTGGAGGGCATCATTTAGTTAAAATTAGGTTCCGACCTAAACAGAAGCTAGCTAAGGATGTTGTGGCGATTCCAGTCAGAACTGTTCCTGCAGCAGCCTTTTCCATGCCCCCTGCGACAATACCTGGCATTGAGGCGGCTGAAACCAGCCCCTCCCATTTACTTCTCCGCAAGTTAATTAATACCACCAAAGCCCGACTTGTGGAGGAGCAAAACAGCGGACGTGGCCTCAGCCCGTCGGAAGCCCTGGCTGCGCAAAAAGCCACCTGCTTTCTCTGGCATGCAAATATTACAACTCAAGCCGGCGACTCAGTTGCTGCCCTAATCAGGAGGTTGGTTCAGCTATTTGAGGAAGCGCCCTTGCGCGACTATAGGAGTCCCTGCTCGAACTGTCACTTCCTTGGCCAAGCATATTACAATCCCCCTTTCACACCGATGCGCACTGGAGCAGCAGAACTCCCTAGACATTGGTTGCAAGAAGCGCTTAATAGGCGTCAGCTTGGTGCCGAGTTGAAAGCGGCTCCCTCTCCTAACCTTCGCTCACTAGTTGCGCAAAGAGATTTGCAAGCGGACAAATCCAAACTCAAATGGCAGTCATATCGCAAAATTTGTCCGCGCATCATTATTGACTCGCAACAGGTGAGAAGTGAAAATGGCCAACTTATCACTTCTATGAGTCAGCTTGATACGGCGCTTAGAGCGACAAGGGCGTTCTGGCACCACTTTCCATGCCGACAGGACAACCAATGGTCCAAACTCCTTGAGCCATATGCACAAAGGGCCCCCTTCGTGCCTCAGGACCTGCCTGATGAAAGTACGCTTTTCAAGGTCATCATCACAACTAAAGATTCCTCACCGGGCCCTGATGGAGTGCCGTATGCATTGTACCGCCAGAACCCGACATATTTTGCCAGCCTACTGGGGGACCACTTGTGGGAAATGTGCCTATCCCAAGCAGAACATTAGTTTTCATCCCTAAGGCTGATAAGGGTGCCTATGCGGAGAATTATAGACCACTTGACATGCCAGACACGAGCGACAGAATCATTGACTCTGCTGTCTATGCGGTCTTAGCACAATCCCTCAAAAAATCTTTGCATCCCGCACAGGCATTGCTCAATTACTTCAAAGAGCCACAGGCAAACTATGCACAAATGCAGCACTATCTTGAGCTTAAAGACGCTCAATATACTGTCACGTTGTCTGACTTTGCCAAAGCCTTTGAAAGAATGAACCCAGGGATTCCTTCTTGACCCTATATGCATTCGCCAGGGTCTTGCCATGGGGAGGGCGACTTCTGTAGTCTTCTTCTGTCTTGCCCTTGATCAGTTAATTTGGGCATTGCACGATGTATCCTCCTTTATTAGGCTAACGGCGTACATGGACGACAACAGTGCCGCCTCCAAAGGCCTACAATGGGTCAAGCGTGCGCAAAACACCTTTGAGCCAGCTCACAGTGCTGGTCTGCAAGTCTTGCGGCATCATTGCTTTCAAGCCGGCTTCATTTCGATGCTTACTGTTCGCGAGCGAATGGTGTTTTATCGATTGCTTCCAAATGTCTCTAAGAAAAATGGTGTGCCGTTTGTTTTGTAACCCAAAAGTTTCTGATGCTTGACATGCCTGGTATTGCGAACGACAATTTGCAAATGCGTTTGCTGGAGCTCTGTGTGTGCAGCGCTGGCTCCACCTTTCAATGCGTGAGGCGGAAGTCTGGACTCCTCAATCGCCTCCGTGTAATCCATTCGCCTCCTTGGATGAACCGCAGGAGCCGTTCGTGCCTGGAGACCTTGCGTCAACTGTTTTCAAGGTCCTCTCCGATGTGGACGTTGATGCCCAGCAACGTAAAGCGGTGAGGCTTGCAGTTGATAAGTGGATCGTAATCATGCAGAGAAACCGCAAGATGCACCCGGAGTGCGAGGTTGATCCACAGGCTTTGGAGGCATGCATTGGGTCGAGGGCCGCAGGAACAGCCTCCAAGAGAGCAGGTAGCATCCTCACGTTCCTGAGGTGGTTTGATACCATTGTTGGTGCCAACCTCGACCCCTTCACTGATGACATGTTCTGGAGGTACATGCAGTTCCTGGATGGCTCGCAGGCCCCGCCATCCAAAGCCTCTTCCTTCTTGTCCGCCTTGCGTTTTGCTTATTTCGTGATGGATGTTACTAACATTCCTAACAAAATAAGCCGCAAGTGTGTTGGTGCAGCTGAGCGTATGTTGGCTAACCTTGGGGACCTCAAGCAAGCGCCCCCACTCACCGTGGCGCAAGTTCGCATCCTTCATTCGCTGTTGCATGGACAAGGTACCTCGGATTGGGATCGGGCCTTTGCTGGATATTGCCTTTTGTGCTTGTATGCACGTGCTAGACAATCTGATTTCCGCAAGGTGGCATACGTTGACGTGGATGGAGAAGGTCGTGATGGCTACGTGGTGATCCGGGTCAAGCAGCATAAAACTGCCAGGGCAGCCAGAAGGGTCGCTCAGCTGCTCCCAATCTTGATTCCGTTGCATGGAATCTCGGATCATGAGTGGTTCGCTTCGGGTTTTTGGTTCCCGTGTGTTTTCCCACAAGTGAATCATGCACCGCCGTTTGCCTTTTGCCCAGGCATGCCTTGCACAGCTGGAGCATCTCTGGCTCACAGCTGGCCTTGACCTAACCCCTAGGTGGGGCCTTCTGCTTTTCTTCGGTCAAGGCCTTCTACGCTCTTAGTGCTTTCTAGAGCCTCCAGGCCCTGTAACCCCGGTGTTTCGTAGCCTGCCTTTCCCTGCCATGGCCTATCGCGCAAACATGCCCATCCGCACAGAGACTCGCAATGCCTTTGATGATGGGCGTCACGACTTCGTCGGCGCTTGGGAACAGCTGGTCTACATGCATGAGGGGAGACTGGCCCTCTTTGCACATCCTGCCCGAGATGACCACTCTACGCCTACTGCAGAGGCCTCTGCTTCGGGAGCTGCGAGACACACTCCTCTTGGAGCTTTTGATTTGCCTACTACAATGGCTGCGCACACGGGCCCATCCGAGCCCCATCTTGGAGTTACGGGATCCACTCCTCTTGGAGCCTCCAGCTCGACTACTACATTGGACGAGCCTATGGGCCCCGCCGAACACTTTGTTGAAGCTAAGCGTCCTACTCCTCTTGGAGCCTCAGACTCGCCTTCTGCGCCTGATGACTTCATGCCTTCAACAGAGACGTTGCCACCTTCGCCCCAGCCGGGTGCAGCCAGGTCGGCCGACATGCCCAACGAGCCTCGTGACCTGCGTCACATAAGGTCCTTGCTGGTAGACATGCACAACCACCTGGCCTGCCAAGATGCCTTGAGCCGCACCCTTATGCAAGCAGCAGAATCCAGGCGCTTAGAGTTGCATGCAGTTTCCGCCCAATTGCAGGAAACACGTGCCAGCCTGGCCCTTGCTCAACAGGCCTACACCGATCTCAGGCACGAACTCGATAGCACCTCTGCCGATTTTTTGGCTTATCGCATTCGCACAGAAGCAGAACTCTACTATCATTGCCTGGTGGTCCCCCTCGGACCCCGCGGGTATATTGCCCCGCTGCCAAGGCCTATTTTCAGATCCAGGCCAGCCTCCCGCATCCTGCCCTGCCTCGGCCACTGAGATAGCCCATCCACCTCGGATGATTGTGCAAGCATCTCAGTTGAGCAGTCCTACGCGACATGCCTCCCCGACGCCTGCCTAGCCCACGCCAGAATAACAGCTATGTTGGAGATAACTCATACGCCCAGGATGCTTGCGTAGCATCTCCTGCCCAAGATGAGCGAAACCTACCCAGCCCCTCTGCGTTGGTCCTGCGGCCGCAGCCCCATCGGGGCCGATTTCAGCGTGAATTTTTCACACAAGCGCAGAGCATGTGATCTCAGCCTTTTGCCGCGTAACATACGCACGCCATAATTTCTGCCCCTACCCTCCCGCCAGGTGCTCGCGACGACTACCTCAGCATCACCAACAACGAGAACGACCGCGTGGAGGACAACTCTAAGCCCTATTTGGGGAGTGGCACTCCCGCAGGCCTTCCTTCAGGTGATACCCCTCAAAGCTAGACCTGCCAGCACCGAGGCTCTAAAGACTGGAGCGTGCACACAGGCCCTGCCTCCTCAGCTTGGGTTTCGGCATTGCCCTCTTGCAACGCCGCCTCGCCGAGTGCCCCTCCGTGCTCCAGCGTTGCCACCCTGCTATGAGCTGCAGGCCCTCGCCTAAAAATCTCTCACGGTGAGAAGCAAGCTCTTCCCAATAATCAAAACAGGGAAGTTGCGTAAAATTGCACAAGCCGCAACTAGGTCCAGCACTTGCGCACGCAGCATGTGATGGCAGCCTCCCCCCCCCATGCCCGCCTTGTTTGCTTAACTTATAGGGGTTTGGGATGAAGCGCTGGCACACGCCACCAAAGCCTCAAGGGTGGCCGCGCTTTCTATGCTGCAGCCTAAGGGGGCCCGCCCCTTTTCTTCGCCCGCAGCGTCCAGCCAAGCCAGCCTTCATCACAGTCTGCGGCCTTGAGACGAGGCCTCAAAGGAGGCCAAAGCTGCTACGCTAGCCGCCAGCTTTAGGCCACAGCGTCAAGAGGGGCAAGATCTAGCCTCGAGCCTCAGCCCGAGGCCTACGGGCCAGCCAAACCCTTTGATTTCCGCCTTCGGCCCCAAGCCACTGCTATTCAAGCAACTCAGGCTGTTATCTCGGCCTTCAGCTTCAGGCCGCAGCCCATAGCACCCCTCGGGGTTTCAAAATCACACTCAGCCACAAAGCACGCAGCAACGCCGTTTCTGCCTGCGTCTGCCTACATTTTTCAAGCAGAACCTTTCCCCCAGGGATGGTGCCCATAAGTCAGCCTGACAGTGCCAAGGCTCCCAGACATCGAGCGCCCTGCCTTCAGGGATAAAATGACACGCAGGCACAACAAAGCACCAGCAATGCTGTTTCTGCCTGCGTTGGCCTTGCTTTTCATGCAAAATCCTGCCCTGAGGTATGCTCCTCAACAGCCAGCAGGGCAGGACAAGGACTCCCAGAAATCGAGCGCGCCAGGAAGCTAAGCCTTCTTATTGACCTTGCAGGCACACAGCCTACGATGTATGCCTGGGCGAACTCGCCAATACCCAGCCTCCGCAGCCAAGCCCCCTTCACAGCCCTGAGCCTGAAACGCCTTTGGGGAACTGGCGCCTCCAGCCTAAGGAGTGGCCCCGTTTTAGCTGCACGCGCGATGCCCCCCCTGGCAGTGAGGAAAAGTCTCAAAGCCCTTGAGACATCTGTGCAACGGGCAGGAGCGCAGGAGGGAAACTTTGGAGAACTGGTGAACTCTAGCCCAGGAAATGGCCTTCGGAAAGCATCGCTCGAAGCCCGTCCCTTGAGCATGAGGCGGAGTCTCAAAACTCTTGAGGCATCTGCCAAATACAAGAAGCCTCAAAACTTTCAGGCGCCAATGGTCCAGCTACTGCTTAGGAATATCACCCTAGCGTCCGTGTGCGCAGCTCGCGACGCCAGCCCGGCCATGTTGCCTGAGTTTTTGGGGGTTTAGGATGACACTGCCCACACGCGGTACACAGCGATGCCATCTGTGCCTATGCATTTTGCTACCACTCCTGAGCATCGACGCCCATCCTTTGGCCATGAGGTGAAGTCCCAAACCTTTTGAGACATCGGTGCAATCACTAGCAGCTTCAAAACTTCAGGCACAAATGGTCCAGCCACTGCTTAGGAAAAACTGCCTTAACAGGAAATTTGCCCTCGCGTCCGTGTGCGCAGCCCCCGACGCCAGCCTGGCCATCCTGCTTGAGCTCCTAGGGGTTTAGGATGGCACACTCCCACACGCTGCCCGCGACAATGCCTTCCATGCCTAGGTTTTTGGCTACCGCTTCTCATGCATTTTCGCCTTGACACGCGGTGAAGCCCGTCCCCTGAACATGCGGAGAAGCTTCAAAGCTTTTGGGGCATCGGTGCAAAACACAAGGACTTCAAAACTGTCAAGCACCAAAGTCCAGTCAAGGCCTAAGCAAACCGCCCTCACGTCCGCGCCGCTCGTGAATCCAGCCCGGCCATCCTACCTGAGTTCTTGAGGGTTTAGGATGACACGCGCCCACGCCCGCCCGCAACACTGCCATCCATGCCCATGTATAGGCTACTACTTCTCGTGTTTTTTCGCCTTGAGAGTGGTCAAGCCCGTCCCCTGACCATGAGAAGAAGCCTCAAAGCTTTTCGGGCATCGGTGCAACTCACAAGGACTTCAAATCTTTCAGGCACGAAGTCCAGCCGATTTCTAGGAAGTCTGCCCTCACGTCCGTGCGCAGCTCGCGACGCCAGCCTGGCCATCCTGCCTGAGCTCCCCAGGTTTAGGATGACACGCGCCCACGCCCGCCCGCAACACTGCCATCCATGCCCATGTATAGGCTACTACTTCTCGTGTTTTTTCGCCTTGAGAGTGGTCAAGCCCGTCCCCTGACCATGAGAAGAAGCCTCAAAGCTTTTCGGGCATCGGTGCAACTCACAAGGACTTCAAATCTTTCAGGCACGAAGTCCAGCCGATTTCTAGGAAGTCTGCCCTCACGTCCGTGCGCAGCTCGCGACGCCAGCCTGGCCATCCTGCCTGAGCTCCCCAGGGTTTAGGATGGCACACTCCCACACGCTGCCCTCGACAATGCCTTCCATGCCTAGGTTTTCGGCTACCGCTTCTCATGCATTTTCGCCTTGACACGCGGTGAAGCCCGTCCCCTGAACGTGGGAGAAGCTTCATTAAGCTTTTGGGGCATCTGTGCAAAACACAAGGACTTCAAAACTGTCAAGCACCAAAGTCCAGCCTATGCCCTATGCCTAAGAAAACCGCCTCACGTCGGTTGCCTGGCCTTCCAGCCTGACTTTTAGGGGCTGAGGATAGCTCATGCCCATACGCTGCCAGCGACAATGCCAATGTATGCTTATGTGCTAGCCTACCACTTCTCATGCTTTTTTCGCTTGAGAGTTTTGGTCAAGCCCGCCCCTTGACCATGAAGAGAAGTCCTAAAACTTTTGGGGCTCCGGCGCAATCCACAAGAACCTCAAAAAATGTCAGGCGCGAAGGTCCAGCCAATGCCTATGAAAACCGCTCTCGCGTCTGCGTGCGCAGCTCGCGACGCCAGCCCGGCCACCCCGCCTGAATTCTTGGGGGTCTAGGATGGCGCGCGCCCAATGCCATCCATGCCTAGGCATCATGCATTTTTGCCTAGAGAGATGCGGTCAAGCTCGTCCCTTTGCCCTGAAGAGGCCTGTGTGCGCCAATTCTGACATCTTGCGAAATGCACAGACAGACTTAGGCATTGGCCTCCGAGGGACTCACAGCGCCCAGCGTGCGATCTGGGCAGCAAGGGATGCCCAGACCCCCGCTGCAGCGAATCCCCCACAAGGAAATGGCATGCACTGGCGCAAGCGCGCTGCTTGTTTCGCCGGGCCTATATCAGGCGCACGTATTGACATGCTCTGCGTGTCATAGTTACGTGGTCCGCCTCGGACCTACACTGGAGCCTTGCCCAGCCGCCTGCCGCCTGTGCCTGAATCGAAGATCCCGCTCTTCCTTGCAAGGATTGATGGTCCGCCTCGGACTCACGCTGGAGTTTTTTCCCAGCTGCCTACTTATTGCTCATGCCTCACCGCAAAAGCCCTGCCACTGTTTCTTCTTGCAGCGCGCTGCTTGTTCTCGCCGGGCTTGTTCTTAGGCCCACGTCTAGACATGCTCTGCGTGTCATAGACTCGTGGTCCGCCTCGGACTCACGCTGGGACTTGCCCAGCCGCCTATGCCCGAGTCGGAAGCTTCAGCATTCTCCTCGCAAGCGCATTGCCCCTGCCGCCAGGCTTATCTTATGTCCACGCATGGACATTCCTTGCGTGTCACAGACTACTGGTCCGCCTCGGACTTACGCTGGAACTTTGCCCAGCCGCCAACGTCTGCGTGCCTGGCTCTAGACGCAAATTTTGCTTGCCAACAGCGGTGCGCTCAGATGCCATTGGGTTCGCCCCACGCCCACATTTAGACATGCCCTGCGTGTCATAGACTGGTGGTCCGCCTCGGACTCACGCTGGAGCTCTGCCCAGCTGCCTCCGCCTGAGTCGGAAGACTCCGCCTTCTCCTCCATCTTCGGGGGAAGCACATCCGCCTCGGATGTTTCGCAGGATTTTGGGGCTG